GGAGCGTATCCAACGTCGAGCCACGAAATCAGTTCGAGGACTCAAATCTAAACCTTACGAAGAACGCCTCCATTCACTAGACCTTCACCCATTAGAGTATAGGCGTCTTAGAGGTGATTTATTAATGGATTATAGTATTCCTAACACTTCTGGACATCCTCTTAAATACCTACTTAAGCTTAGTTCGAATAATAACCTAAGGAGTAACACCCAGAAACTGGAAACACAACATAGCAAGACGGAATGTAGACACAACTTCTACTCCTTAAGAGTTGTCAAATGCTGGAATTCGCTGCCAGCCGAGCTAGTCCAAGCGAATTCTCAGGAGTCCTTCAAGAGGCAACTTGACCTATTCTTAAGGACCAAGGACAGCATCACACTATGATTTACCAATTTCTTTTCCTGTTTCATTGTTAACATACCTAGGTTCCTGTCTGGAGGATTTGGTGATCCCCTGCTACTAGATACGGAAGCCTGTTAAGCGAAAGCTTCTTCTATTCCGTCCACAACCATTTGAACCATTTGAAGTTGTTAATCATAGGCGGGATTTCGAATAGTGCTTTACGTCAAGTTTCTTCCTCTGGTACTAGATACGGAAGCCTGTTAAGCGAAAGCTTCTTCTATTCCGTCCACAACCATTTGAACCATTTGAAGTTGTTAATCATAGGCGGGATTTCGAATAGTGCTTTACGTCAAGTTTCTTCCTCTGGTGAAGTTATTTAGTCCATCACTTCTTGGCTTGTCAGTTTCGTAGTTTAAATAAATCGTTGGTTATAGATACGGCGATAACAATGGACCATCCCCTATGCATTCCCAATTGTCAAACTGCTCTTCCAAAGTTTCCTAAAACAGGGACAAAATTTCTCACAAAATAGGGAGATTGGGTAATATGTTATTGTCGAGTGTAAATAAATCTAACACAACATATAAGTCTCAAATGTCTTCTGAGAGAAATCGTTTTGACTCATGAAGTTTGATAAGTAATTCCAAACTGAAATCGATGTCTTGGTCGAGTATTGGATCTTGTTTCATATGTAGTAGACAACACGGCCGAAGCATTCATCGATAACGTTTCAGATTTTTCATAAGCCGACTGGCAGTATTCAGTTTTCTCACATTTTGCATTAAGAGCATAACAGAACCGATGTGAACTGGAAAGGTGTTCTCTAACACACGAAAAGAACAAGATCTTATACTCGATCAATAATTCGATTTAAATTTAGGTTTACCCGTCAGACTTCATGATTCGAAACAATTTGTCGGAAGGACTTCTGTGGATCCACAGAAGTCTAACACTCAGTGTTAGATTTATTTACGCTCGACAATAGCATACCAAGATTCTTCGTAGTAGTTTCATTATTAACATTTTGACAGTTGAGGACGCAGAGAAAGATATCTGAATGAGCTACTTCCAAGGCTCGGGATCATTCATACAAGCGGTTAGACGAATAATGTGTTCAGTATTTAGCTGCTCACCAAAATTATACTTAGAAGCCCTAGTTTAAGTTATAGTATTAAATCCCTGGTTTTAAGCATGAAATAATGTGTTGTATTACGCACTATCATGGGTTTAATACGATATTACATGAAGACCAGTTAATAATCGTTCTAGTTTGTGGAACCAAAGCAAAGTTAGCTAAAAAATTCCGGAATTTCCAGCAAACCATGTACTTCGTATAGAAGCCATGGAATCCGCGGCAATCTCATCTTTCTTTAGGTTATATGATAAATATCAGGCGTTGAGCCGTTCTAGGTAATATTCGCCTTCCCTCGGCGACAATTCGGTATGTTGAGTTTCAAGATTATTAGGATCCAGGATAAGCCCAACACTGAATATGAAATTTTCTAAGTATCAATGACGCTGTTGCAGTAACAAAAACAGCAATAGGAAATGAATAAGAAGTATAGTATTATATTATATAATTATAGTCGATTGAGACAAATGATAAAGCACTTGAAATGTACGCTGATTTAAATAGCCACCCACCACTTAGAAGTGGTGATGTATGTACTTTTGATGTAGTTACTGGCTAAGCATTATTTTCAAATTGTCTTGCACTTAAAACCAAAATATTTAGTTTATAAGAACTACACTGATTTCCGAGTTCTCTCTTGAAAGTTGTTAACATGTGTATTACGGTGCTATTTAAAGAAGGCTGCCATTTTAGTTATTGTGCAACCTTGTTGACTCTGGTCTTAATGACGCATTACATCCTATCTTCTTTGTTTACATTGAGTTCTAGTGAGTTAAGGTGCGATAAACAGTAACGAAAATTTCCACATCTTTATCTACACTTCTAAAAGCACATTTCGTTTTGCTATAAATATGTCCGCTAAAGTATGAATTGTCACCCTATGGTGAATGGTATTCAGTATGTTGAACCCAAAGGTTTTAACACACGGTCAACACAAATCTCACACCAACTGCACATAGGAAAAGTTCGGTAAACCTATTTGCGTACTGCTTTATTCACATTGTTACTCAGATGCATATCAATTTATATTCGACGCCATTCCGTTTATGAATGTTACTACGCATCGCACTGCGAAATATGTCGATAAGCATGAACATTTAGTGACAGTTTTTGTTGATACATAAATCAACAAATATATACAATTAGACCCCAAATAGTCACATCTACTTGTGTATCGTCGCGAAAGAGAAAAATACCCGTACTGGTTAGTCATACGTAAAATCGAAAGGTGTAAGACACTTGCCAGATTGGAAATACCATTCGCATAAAGTACATCCTCTGTACAAACTGAGAGTCAGGATGAAAAATATTGATGTGCAGAAACCAGGTATTTTGCATTTAATCCCGTATTGAAATAGTTAAGTTAAAAAAGAAAGTTGATAAAACTTAAGAAGGCGAAGGTTCTTCTTACTTACGTCTGTTACTGCCAATGGAGCACAGATCGCCGACCAGCATTCTCCATCCCACTCTGTCCTGGACCTTCCCTTCCAGTTCTATCAAATGTTTCTCATGTCTGTCTCCATTTTTCAAGATGATGTGTTCTTTGGTCTTCCTCTTTTCCCTTGGCCTTGATGATTCCAGTTACAATTTATCAACAATAGGAAACTAAGTACAAACTTCGAAAGTACTGTCTTTTAGTCTGATTATATGCAAGAGTGCATCTTAGAGCCGATCAAATCCCATTCTATTGATCCTAACAGTATCTGTTCTCTGGCGTGTTCTATCAGTAATGACAGTAGCAATACATATTTCACAAAAAGGGTTGATAGTAAAATCCAGCGTAGGATAATTTTAAAGTTGATTTTAGGTAGTACATAGGATGGAAGTATAATGCTAAAAAATGCACACAGGGTTTATAATTAAGAAACGTAACCGGTTGGACTGGTCACTCAATCACTGTCTGAAGAGGTTTTTAGTGAGCTAGTAACCCAACAAAATCTGGGGAAAAAATATGGGGAATTCAGGATTTCTGAGTGGTACGGTTCTGTAATCCGATGCTATTAAGGCTTAAATTGTTCTTTTTGGAATTTTTGTTCACTGGTCCTCGCAGTTTATAAAACAAATTTCATCATCAAATGTATCAAAACTACTAATCACTGGTGTGACTGAAACAGTGTGTGATTGATATTACTCCACCACTTTAGGTTGCACGTACTTAAGAAATAATTAGAACAAATGATACGAAAGCGAAGTACTCCTATTATATTAAGGAGTTTGCATTTACATCTCTTTGCTTGTAAGACGCATGATGGTGAAACTTAGCAGGTTACTAGTTGTGAATCAACTTTTATGTTTCATCTATCGTATCCTTATCTACTCAGTTGATGATTTCGTCTTAGAACACATTAAGCTCTGGCGTAAAAGTGACCAGTGCCTGATATTGGAGGATTTCAATACACCTGTTATAAATTGGAAAGGTTTATCCCCAATGGGACCCAACAGTGTGCTCGATAGTAGTCTTCTTATGTCTGCGATGAGGAATGCTTTGTTACAGCAAATATTTAAACCTATACGTTTGGGCATTTGACTCCTCATTTTTGCAGCTACTTTGATTTACGTTTAACCAGCGCTGGGATGATGGACACGGTACAGGATATGAAAGAAAGTTGCACAAGACTGACACCTATCGGTCCTTCACGGCTTCCTGGTTAGGGTCCTAAATACAGGGCAATTCAGTGGCTTGAGACGTTATCAGACAAAGTTCAGAAAGGAATCTAGTGGCGGACCTGTTGTATTTTTTTTACTTTTTCATAAAAAACAAGCAGAACCTTAACTATTCGGATTCTTCCCGGTTGTATTTTTCTTAACTAAACTGCTCCTTCTATTATTCACTACTCACTTATTTTTATCCCATATTTCGTCATACCTTTCTCTATCGTCACAGTGTCGTTTTCTTATTGTGAAGCGTGTATCTAGGTGCCCATTATTCATGTTTTAATAAATAAATAAAAACAGGTGAATGACAAACACACATCTCCCATTGCCTAACTCATGGTTAAAACAGGTTATAAGATAGGTCTTAACTCAGCATACTTAGTCTTGTGTAGAAGTTATCTAAGGCAAATACTTGGGTTTGTTAGAGCGTTAGTCATACGGAAGCCTGCCTATGCTTGAAAATAATTTTCATTTACACTAAATGTATGCTGGTAATACTAACTTATCGTTCAAAATGCCGTGATTCATATCGTTTTTCATTATTATCACCTCTGTATTCCAATATGTCTAGTTTAGCATTTATTTTTCTGATGTCTCGACAAGTAAATACATGATCAGATTGTTTAAAATGTATTGCGTTAATATATCATATGGTTAAACGCTGTTTTCTCTTTGCATTATCTAAGAATGTAGTAGTTGATGATGAAATTAGTTTATAGTGTGAAGTAATTCTTCTGGAACTATCAAATGTGGACTTGGACGAATTTCAGTTTTTCATGCCATTAATATTTTTATTTTTCTCTCTCCCTATATATATCTGAGATTGTTGTTTTTCTGAATGTTTCAGATTCTCCAACTACCATTTACTAAATGTGGAGACAAAAATTGCTTCTCAGTGTTAGGTTATGTAGCAATCTTTGTATGAACAAAGAAGTGTCTGAAATTTCACGCCATCGTGATTGTTTACAGTTATGGAACGAAATTAAAGAACAACAAGTTAACCTTTACTTGTCACCACGTGTTGAGAAAGTCATAGTTACATATCATGGATTTTTAGGGGAATCAACTTTGGAAATGACTAAAGGTATATCAACACCTCTAGATTGTGCAAAGCATTTGTCTGAGATCTTGGTCAAAGAAAGTGTTATTGCTATGGTTAACAATAATCCATGGGATATGAATCGGCCACTGTCATGTGATTGCTCACTTGACTTTGTGCAATTCAAGGTTCGTTCCAGATTGTCGTAATTGTTTAAAAGCGCTTACATGCAGTTGCTGTCATAGTACCCTTTATGTTAGAAAGCTATTTATTTTCCATGGCATAGAAATGGGATTTTTCAATTTGCTCTGGTGACTTTATGCATTAGGTTAATTTTTCAAAAACCCGACGATACTACTTCTATCCCTTTCTTTCCCACCCCGCTAACTAGAACGGGAAGTTCAGTTTCTTAACGTCCCCAGTAAAATTAAATGTACGCTTAAGTTAGTCGGCTATATATGAGCTACAATGACTAGGATTTATTATCTGAGTAATTGTGACTAAACACTGAAAGTTGGTAAATGAATGTAACGAAAATGTGCTGAAAGTTAACCTTAAGTTGATTTCCTTTCTCATAAGTTGTATTAGTGGATTAACAAATCCCCAACACACTTTTCAGTGCTTAAGCTGAATTCGTTAAAGAACACTTATGTAGACTGCGTAAATAAAGAAGCAACTAATCGTTAGCAAGATATGCTTGGGTCTCAGTCTAGGCGTCCACAACTCGAACCTAATGTCTTTCGTTTTGAATGTCAACCCGCTACTGGTCACTAACTTGTGCAATCAGTATGAAATTATTGATAATCAGTTTGTATCTGAACCCAGGACGGTCACTTGTAGTCCTGAATGTCAGAACTGTGGTACGAAAGCCTCTACAAATATCCATTCCTAGTTAGTTTTTACGTTTACGCTAAATGGAGTCAGTTCGTGATGAATGCATTCATGCAAGTAATACTGACAGGATGATTCCAAAAAGTCCTAGACAACAAAGTAGTAATATACACAACGTCTATCCGTAATATATGGATTATTATTATTATCACCTTGTGAAAATAAGTATATATATTTGTGATTGTACAGCTTTGAAAATGAATTCGCCGAAAAGAGAACTCTTCGCTGAACTAATCTTTCTTCCTCACTTAATGTCATAATGGGTGTATTCCGTTTATATGGATTCCGTCAATAATATTATACAATTGTTCACCATTTTATTTATATTTATTTTATAGGGTCCTCATTATGATCCGACAGTTGCAAATAACGCATTTTGGCAATCATGTACACTCCTTCTAGCCGCCACTTTAGAAACAGCTTTTCATCAAAAACATAATGTTCGTGTAATCAATCTCCCTTTACTTAACCCAAAAAGTGGTGGATTCGTATGTGATATTTCATTTAATCCAGGACATCAATCTTTAGAGAATTGGACGCCTTCACCTCAAGAATTATATGCATTAAATACACATATTCAACGGATGGCTGCGGACGACTTAAGTTTTGAACCTTTAGATGTATCAATTCACAGTGAACTACTTCAGAAGTTATTTGCTGACAATCCATTAAGATCACAGCAGATTAGTCATGTATTCAACGAACATCAAGACAGTAGTAATACACTACAACTTGACTTATCTTCAAACAAGGATAGATTTACAGAAAGGTCCACCCTACCTGTATACCGAGTGGGGAAATTTGTTGAGGTACCGACATCAAACTCTACCTATTATCATAACATTGTATTGACATAAAATGGTTACTGTGCCGTTAAGTAGTGAAGGTTCTTACTGATTTAGGTCTATCGACTTAATTCAAAATAGAGTCACACGTTAGTAAATGTAGGTCATAATTATCGGATGGATCTAAAAAACTAATGTAAAATATCCCATCATTTTAATCGTAACTTACTGTTACATTTTCTCAAAAAAAAAATAAGTTTTTAGGCATTCGTAGAACTGTGAATAATCATTTCGAGCTTGTTCACCAAACAATCAATTGCTAAGTCCGAACCATTCTGTCAGTGAATTAACCAGTTAGTATTATCATTCCCTACTAAATAATTATCTTACAGCTTGGATTGATTTATTTACAAATATTTTAAAGGATAGTTTAGTTAAGGCATAATTCTTTCTATATTGTGATGATATATATAAATGCAGATATAGAAAAGCATTCATTGAGGCTATTTATTTTATTTGAACACAAATATTCATACGAGGGAGCACCGACTACATATATGCCTCATAGGTCAGTTGGCTTGTGTGTGCTGTGATACTGCCGGGGTATCCAGACCAGAGGTAATTTTCTAGCGAATCACACCCGGAGCTTTCGACCTAGAGATCTAATCCAAAAGACAGTGTAGCAACGTAAGGAGATGCAGTCCCGTTGCGGCCGGTGACTAATAATTGGTTCAAACACCATTTGTTTCTCCAAGATACTGGAGCCCATGTGCACCAATGGTTTGGAATCAGGGTTTTCCAACTCTGCCAGGTGGACTCTCCGTCTCCTTAGTTTCGTAAACACTCCCGCTACGATAAGGTAGTGAGTAGGACTTCACTGTCATGTGAGAGCATTTCGAGAAACCTAACTCTCCCCACTCTCGGCCGTACCAGGGCATTTGGCAGCCAATGTAATAATGCGCGAAGCTTATACCACATATATGTTAATAATAAGCGAATGCATCGGTAAATGCAAATCTTATTTAGACACCAGGCTGAATACAGTTTGTTACGTGTCGAAAAGGTAAGATATGCTCTATATGCGATTTGTCTAAAATTATGTGGAATATTTATCTTATTCTGTTTTATTGTGTGAAATGTATAGTATTTTTGGCGATTCGTTAGACACAAAATTTGTTGATCGTACAACAATTTTACTTTATCTTTTTTAGTGTTTCACTAATGGCCCATTAATCCGATCAACTGGCCTTATTGGAAAAATATCCATCAGTTCATTTTCCCGAATAGGTCATCTTCGAGGATCTTCAAGTAACGTCGTCTATCGTGTTCAAGGCGTGGCTATTCCATCTGCATTCCTTACACATTTCACGACGTTTCATCGTCTTATGGAATGGTCCAAATTACCGAATTCAGAAGTCGACATTTATCCAGACTACGTGGAACCTTTACCATGAAAGCCAAACTCAGATATTTGTAAATCTCGTTTTCTACTGCATTTGAAATCACTACCTTGTTTAACTACTCAACAGAGCACTACAAATAGCAAATTGATCTTTTTTCGCTCTTGATAATTATGAATTTACAACCATTATTTCGTCATGTAGTGCCTGAAGTTTGCTGTGTGTGGTTGCTTAGTTAACGCTCGCTGACTGGAAACTACAGCTGAGCAGCAAAATGCCGTTCGTAGTTCATTGCACCGTAAACTATGAATATAATATCACCAATCATTCACGATTTTGTTGTTAATTCAATAAATTTAGTATGCTCAGTGTATTACAAGTTTCATAGTACATTAGTTATTAATGTCACAAATGAATGGTCCACAATTGCCTTAGCAATGGATGTCTCCAGAAGATGCCATAGCGTTTTCCAAACCCACCCTCCGTTATCCTAACTATGCAACTGACTTCTGAATCCATTATTCAGTACTAGGTTTTACCATCATGCCGAATTCTTTTCAGAAACATCAAAACAAAGTCGGTTGACAATTAGTAGGCAGAATAAAAAAGATCCACCGAAGGAATTTTCTTTACAATGAGATCATTTACTCAAGTTGTACATTCGCATTTATAGTTGTATGGCAAATAAAAGTCTACAGAAGGATAGAAAGGGTCGTATCATAAAGTGGTCTGGGAGGGTGCGCAATAATCCGGGGGTTAGAGAAGAATACAGTGGAAGTAATTTACGGGTTAAATTTTTGATAGTTATCCCCTTGACAGATATGAAGAAAAAAAGAAAAGCATAAAGTTCATAATAACTGAGCGATAATTTTGAAGGATTTTTAAAGGTAAGTAGTGACTGATTACAGTCCAAAATCGCAAACCTAATAAGGACATTTTACAGAAGGGCATTAACGCAAATAAAGGATGAGAGGTTGGACGTCTCGCGTTTGCACATAGAGTTCGGAGATCAATGGGTAAGTCTCCAGTGTGTTTTTTATTTGGCTTTGGCTCAGTTTCTCTGTGTGTATTATGTTGAGGGAAGATTCCCGCGAAGCGACTTGCCATGAGTTGGTCAGATGCTCATATACTGAACTGATTGTTTTGCACCCTTCCTAAAAGCCGCGCCGGGCAGTATTCTAAAATGCGCTTGGAAGTGACCAATTTGTGGCTAGTGTAACATGCCCCACGGTAGCGACTAAATTTATAGATGCAAATCGAAAATTCGTGAATGGTAGACCGGCTTGAGGAAACAATACAGAGCTTAGCTGAGTAATACGTTTTATTCAGGGATTTCGAGATCCGTTTGTTCAAGAGTTTGGCAGCCGTATCTCGTTGAAATTCCATATTCATAAGTTTTCTTTTGAATTGTCGGTACTTTTTCAGAATATAAGATTCATAGCCAGGTTACACTACTGACGTTTTACGCGCTTAGGATGGATGTAAGCTGGATATTTTAAAAAACATTCACGTATATCTGTAATCTGCTGTAGTTGTTCATTTAATTAAGACAAATAAGTGACTGAGACGCTAGCGATATAGTTTTTAAACTACGGTAGATTAATGGATAGTTTGAAAGTCTAGGGTCTTTATTAGTGGTAATAAATATATGGTCGGCTCGATGTAAATAATCAGACTTGCATATGTAGGTCCTTCCTATCTAAAAAGAAACTACTGATAAATTATCACTTGGGTGGAAGAAAATGCATTTTGTATATAGTTCCACTTAAAGTCTTGATGTGAACTATTTTGTCTGTATACTATTGATCAAGTGGTATGTACTAGGTCGTTTCAATATATAACGCCTGCTACGTTTAAATCTAGAAAAACTCTTAGCTCTGCATGTTTGGTTTTCATGATGAAACAGACAAACTCTATAAACTACAATCCAGTTCCGAATGTCGATATAGTGTTCTCACCCAACCAATAAAAATTCGAAGGTAACCTCCAATCAGATCTTGGTACTTTTACGATGAAAGCTATTAAGGCAAATTTCTTGCGATACAAATTAGTGGGTTCTGAAAATCTGATGTCACTGAAAGTAAATAAATCATATTCTTTCTAGATGTCCAAAATGGCCACTTAACCTTTCAAAATGTTTTAATGAACTAGTACTTGGAAATTCAAGATTAAAACGGTCATTTTGTTAATTGAGTGAACAGATGTTTACCTTTGCTACAAGAAGCAAACGATAGTTGCGTAAACTCCCTGTTAATCTCCATGTTCCCTTCTCTCCTCGTGTTCGAAGATTGACGGGTAAGTTTCTGAGCACTTACCACTTCAATAGATGCCACCTAAATTCATGTTTTCAAGTTTTTTGTTTCGTCATTAATAAATATCTATGCACTTCGGACATTATCTCAAATTATATAGGGATGAATATCGCTTTTATGATTGGTCAACTTCCCACTGTTAAGCTGAACTCTAAGTAATGTTCCTGTTGTGGTTTTGCATCCAGTATGACGGACAGGCACGCAACAGAATGAGTCTTATACTGATTCGATCCAACGAAAGTTGGTGGAATTGTCATTGTGAGTACATGGCTAGACTGGTTTCGGGAGCTGCCATGTGCGATGTCTGGATGTCTACAGAGTGCCTTAAGCACAAACATCTTGATTTAACAAACGGAAGTAACTTTATGTAGTGGCTACCTCTTCTGGAATAATAAAATTACAAATAGTGGCCATTCGTGTTTGCAACAATAGTAGTTATTACAGACTCGCCCATACACCATCTACTAGAAATGGGAAAACTGAAATCACTCATATGAAACTGACAAACTATGCACGGTTTGTAAGTCTGGATAAGGATCTTATAGATGACAAAAGGAATTCACTGAGAAGCTAAAACAATTTAAGATGAAGGACCAAAGTTTAGCTGCATTAATGACTTGCAATCCTTGATCAATAGGTGTAAAATGAAATCTCGAGAACATTAAACTCTCGTGAAAATGAGTAACGCGTCTATCCCCTATTACATATAAGGGAATTTTATGCAGTGAAACTCGCTACCTGCTGCAAACCACTAGATTCTAATATACTATTTTTAATGACTGGACAAACCTTCGACTTTAATGTATATCGGGAGAATGCTGTCCAGGGAACTTATCTTTCAATTATTGAATTTAGTGAACCACGTAGGACACTAATGAAAGATGTTCAGCGCAAACTCTCACCAGCTCAAGGTTACTTTACCATATAAACGAACAAATAAACACTAGTCTCTTCTAAACTATATAAAATAATGACTGACAAACACTACATTATTCCACTATTTCTGGACCCTTGTACTCCTTTGAATGCTTTTTGAAGGTTGTGGCTATTGCAAGTGCGCCGGCCATTGGGAGCATAAAGAAGGCTAGAAATCCGAACTGCCTCTGAAAAATAATAAGATGAATAGTTGTTGACTTACTATTCTAGACATTCTATCTGGATTCCGAATTACAATAGGATTATACGAACGCGAAATATTGAGTAATGGCTGGAAACCACCTTTCATTTTTTAGGAGCAATACGAATTGTGAGATATTGAGTTCAACGTAGTTGATATGTACTCGGTCAGCAATTGAAGCGATCTTACAGACCGAGATGAATAGTCTACAAGGTAGAAAACAATAAAACTGGAGTCAGCTGAAGCCTAGTAAGGCCATCTGGAATCACATTTAAAACTTATGTAGACGACTAGTCGTACGCAGAATTCCCTGTAGAAAGAACATTGTTCTCACTACGATCGAGTATGAGGATGGTGAAACCACTAATTCAAGCACGGAAAGAATCATGGGGTGTGAGCTAATGTGGTCTCTGTCCAGAATACTGCACGCTGTATGACTCATCTGTAGAGAAGCGACCATAATGTTCACCGTTAGGATGCCCTCCAATAAAAGACTGAGTGGCACAAGCGTGAGAATCTGGCGAACTAGCTAATAATGTACAATCCAAGTCAATATATAGCTGGAAGATGATCAGTCAGTGACTAAAGAAAATGGTCTTGAGCTCAGGGTGGTCTATAAAACAGGGGACAAAACCAGCGTCATTTTAAGACCAGTAAGATCATTCGAGTTGATCAACTTTTACACTCCTTAAAAGAGAGGCCAATCGGCACATGATCCATCGAGAACCAACTCAGATGTTTTTTGTCGAGAGGAACACATGTCCACAAGTAACCAAGAACAAAATAGACAAATAGAGCAGTGTTAACCGTATTTATGTAGGGGATTACATTTGGAATTTAAAAAAAGAGCATTTACACAAACCGTATATATTAATCATTAAAGTCAACAAATGATCCACTTTAAAGGCATTGGAGTATAACATCTGAGCATTATGATTTCTTTAAAAATAAAAAGATGAAATACAAGCGAGCTATGAAGAAGCTTTAACCATAATAGTCCAATGGGTCAATAAAACCACCAGAATATATAAATCATGAAGAGGACTGACACTAAGCAAATGAAGAGAGATTGAAATTTCGTGTATAATCATATTCAATTGTAGGTATAACAGCTTGGACAAATTTTAGAAATATCATAAGATATTGATGAACAGCTAATTCAGCCCCACCGTCAGCTACAGCTTCAATTAATTTCCGCATTACATCAGCCTGTCGACATGGATGAATCGACGGCATCATGTGGCCGGACAAGTGTGGATGTGCTTCAGTCGTGACAGTCTTCCTCGCGTGATCCTGACTGAAGTCCTCATACATCTCAGCTTCCGTCAACGGTTGATGATGTTCATTGTAACCATACAACCATAAACGTGGTGTTTGATAATATTTATCGTAGGTGATATACAGATCATAAGTTCTTAATTGGAGAATTCCGTTATTTTCACAATTTGCCTTCTGGTTTGAGCTTGATGTATTGAGTACCTTTGTACGGGCATTAACAGCTGCTGGATCGCATTCATCCAACATACCACTCTGCAGAAAAGCTTCCATATCTTCATCCTCTTCTTCACAATCGGAAACTGTGTTACTTTGCTGATGATTCAATATATTATCCGATTTCAAAACAGTCATTTCATTTGCATTTTCGATCTCAGGATTGTCACTTTTAGTCGCATAATGGTGTGTGTCTACCCAACCACCATCACCATCCTCTTCCTCTAACACTTCCTCAAACTCTTCGTTATGATCTGCCATCTGCTTCACTCTTTTGTAGCAAGGTACACTGCGAGTAATCAGATACTGTTTTTCTTTGGGAAGATAAGGACGAGTACCTTTATCGCCAGTTGCCCATTGCCAAGTTGGACAATGATAAACTAAAAAGTCCCCTGCTGCTACAAACTCTTCAGGAGTGATGACTCCTGTTTCCCGGAATTTAGACTCTCTTAGTATAGGTGTTACATACTCGGCAAGTCCAAGAGCAGTACGTGTAACAACTTGTCTAACTGAATCCATAATCACGTGCCTGGAGGTTCCACAAAATTCGTTTGGTTCACTACGTGAATTCGTGAACACCAATAGCACTAGTAGACTGAATATCCAACTAGATGAGGATTTCAAGATTTGAAGATGACTGAGTGTATGTATGATGATCGTTATCGCGAAGTTGATAGATATTTGGTCAGTGACTGGAGGAAGCAACTTTCTGGATAGATGTGAACAGTCTACAAGGTAGAAAAGAAAACAAAACCGGCCTGAGCCCAAGCCTATTCAAGGCTTACGGGATAACTTACATTTAGGATCAAAACTGGCGCTACACCAAATGGAAGGAATCAAGAGTCAAATATCTGATTCCAATCCCCAATTCTCGCTTACGACGTTCAGTAGCTTCAGTTGGTCACATCTGAAGCAATCAAAGCTTTCGCACAACTAATTTTCACTTTTAGTAGGGACTGATTGGAGGGACTCACACCTACTATAGTGGTGAAGTCATAATTCAATTGTTTTCCAGTAAGTTATACAGACAAGATCAGGGAATTATTCTCTGCCGTTTGACTGTCTCACTGCATTTATTATGCAATGCTTTATGATATGGCTGGTTGTTTGTGCCGTTGGAGAGACGCCTTTAAATTTAGACATGCCGCTTATTCCTGGTGCATTCTCAGGCACTAGACTTTAGATGGGGAGTCGACACGTTGAGTTCCGTATGTGCTTGGCAAAGAGATTCTGTTAGTCAACGGACTAAAGGGAAGTGTTCGGAATTCGTTTACATGTTCTTTCAAGGAAGTACAAGAAAAAATTCATGTGTCTTTCCGTATGATTACTCTCTTCTTTTCTCTTCTAAACTGTCGTTTCTTTTGTCGACTATATCCACTCAGATTTTGTTTTCCTTTTGATTTATTTGCACATATTCTCATATCGCTCAACATCTACAAAGCGTGGTCATTTCTTAGATGTTTTCAGGGTTCTGACTACTGTCCATTTTTGCTTTGCTTAGTATCGTTTTGGCAGTAGTCATATTGAAAATCTTGTCCTTAATTGATACCAATAGAATTACTGCTTGTTTCTATCCTTATTATAGTCATATATTGCACTGATGAAACTGATGACAATCAGCTGTCAGGCCAACAGAGATTCTGACCGCACGAAAAGTGCGTTTTGAGATTTGATCCCGGATTTACCAAGGGGCCGTAAAGGGGTCCTACGAACGTGTCTAAGCGTTAAACTTAAGTACATCAGCATGGGTGTTTACTACCATCCAGGATTAAAAGCTAACCTGATGAGATATAATGAACTTTGGTTGGGTACTTTGAATTACGACACGTTAAACTTGTATATTAATGTGGACAGTCTAACCTTTTCGATTGATCCTAATCAACAGTTATGACTTATATTAGAACGTGAATTTGCCCGTAGGTTTAGTGTTGTTCATGACTGGTGTTTGTGGAGGGAATACTAAGTTGGCTAGATTTAATGAATTATAGTCGGACACCATTTATGTAATAAAAGAAACGAGAGTCCTATGGCTATTAAACTAGTAGCTGTAATCTGTTCGTTCACCTGCTCGTTCATATGTTAGATATACACCTGATAACTATGGAAAAGCAGGCCACAATAGGTGTGTTGTAGTGGGTCATCTTTAAAGAAAGATGGTGTTTACAAATGATAGATATGCACCACGAACCTATGACATCTTTCATCACCAGATCCAACCAATTCACCACCAGAGCCATACCGATTTCTAAACACTTGAAATTAATATTATTTAAAGATTCCCTTGAGGCCCAATCCACAAGGTATACTTGGATGAGAAAAAGAAACTTATCAATAAACAGCTTGATTTCCCTCGAAAAAGACTTAGGGACAAATCTATGATTATGGACATAAGTAAGTTAATCTTGAGTCGTGTTCAAACTTTCAGCATAAATGTCGTACATTAAACTTTGTTGCAGTATGGAAAGTGACAGTGTTAACCGCTCCTTCTCTATTTAAGCTCCATCATTCGTAAACATTGTTTGCCACAACTGTTGTACCTAAAGTAATAGCGTTTAGCATTTTTGATATATTTTTTGGGCATCCTGGATTACAAAGCAGAGCAACCTATTTTGTTAGGAGTGATGTAATAAAAATTTTTGCGGGATACAAATAAAGTTATGGACAGAAAAATAAGTTTTCATGTACATTCGTCGAAGCATCTTTCTGATGATGTTTGCTCACATGGAGCTCGAGATTCTTTGAGTCTAATATGAAGTAGATTGAGAAATCGGTGCAGAGTAGTCAAGTTATAGCACAGCAAATAGCCCAGCGCTATGAAGAAAAGACCTCTTCCTATGATAGGCTTCACACTATCATTCGAACAACTATTGTACAGACCTGCGTCAGATCTGACTATAAGCAAAAATGATAATGCGTAATAACACTAGATCAGTCTCATTCGAACCTGATAATTTAATACAAGTACACAGTAAACCCAGGCTATATACTGACCTGGGGAAACAGTATTAACTAAATTTGGGGCATTCACTAACCCACGTAGTTACTTCACAGAACCACTCCCTCCTAGTCACTAGGTATATTTATGTTCTCGGTAGTTATTCATGAACATATGGGTTTCGATTAACGATTTATACTGTAAGTGTATTCCCGTTAACTGGTCAATACAACGGTTTTATTTGATGATAATAAATACGTCCAATACAGTTAGCTGAATCGCCCTCAACGTCCTCGTTGAAGCATGTTGGCAGTGCCTTAGCGACCAATTAAGTCACATTTCGGATTTAAGTCAATGCCTAAGATTTGATAAACTACACGGTGTTTGACAGAAAATATCACCAGCCATCTCAGACTTGGGTGAGAACATTATTCAGCTAGTGCCTAGGTTTGATGAGAGTGATCATTCACGAAGATTGGGTATCTGACAGTCAACTTAGCTGTTTCTTTCGTCATCTGATAGGAGCGCCAAACGTTAGAAGCATGACCTTTGGATGAAGGCATGAAGGACGAATTTGTAAGTATATCAACTTCATTGAATTATTGCTCCACATCCCAGATTCCCTTGGTGACACGGTTAGCCGAAGTTAATTCTAAAACTTCCGGGCGCTGTATTTCACCATCTGATTAAAAAAACTGAGGTCGTCAGCCATTCCGCACCACTTGGGACTTCATTGAAAAGAGCGCTTCAGAAGTAGAGGTTTAATGGCAGCAGGAGAAGTAAAATGTTTCTTATCTTTTATTATTAGGAACACTGACGTCACAGTTCTTATAGTCATTCATCATCGAGAAATGGCTTGCTAAACTTCATGGTATCGTTACGGAATAGTATTATCAGGACATGTGGGAAACTACGGAAGAATCGTCGAAGGGCAGCAGAACATATATGTTCTAATTTAAAGCGACGAGTTTTCACTGTTGTTCTTTAGGTTGTGCACAGTATAGACAAATATAGCCGCAAGTCCCATCTTATGTCGACAGTTGTTTAACAAGATATGGTAGATGGACATTACTGTAATGTTTGTGTTCACAGAAGGATTATTTTGATCCGGGGTAGTATCAGGAAAAGTTATTTTTATGTCTGGCTTAATTTTGTTTTTAAAAATTTCACTTACAATACACTGACTTTTTTGGTTGAATGTGATATGCTGAATCTAAGTGTATGTTTCGAGGGCTTAGTTTTAGGTGAGAAGTAATAAGTCGTATTTTGATCGGAGAATAGATTCCGTGATAACTAACGGGCCGTAAAGACACAACACAGGTCTTGAAAGCGAAGCCTACCAACGTCCGTATGGGTGGATTATTCTCTTTATAAGTTTTATGTACAAATCCTTATTCTTTATTCAACAAATTACATGGACTAGGAACATTAGTGGATAGATTAAAGACACCCATTGTAGCTATTACCGAAACTTGTTAAGTCCATGACACTAACGCCAATCCATAGTTATTAGAATAAAACTACTTAAGGAGTGGTAAGAATAGATGCGGGAAAGGGGTTGTAGTCCTGTATGGCCGAGCCATGCCATCCGATCAACTCCGACTAATTCCATTCATTCTTCCCGCCTTCTCCATCGTTAGGCATTTCTCCGAGTTAAATATTGAATATCTATTTTCCGAATTATCTCGTGTTTAGCTTTGAGGATTGTGTGGTTATGGTCTAATGCCATTACAAACTCATTTTTGAGTATTGTACAGCTATGATTGATGTCGTTTATCGTAGTATAATTTGCCCAGCTAATGCATTTATATTAGAGGACATTCAGCTATGGAGGAAAAACAACAGACGCCTGATGTGCGCCGGGTGCTCCCTATTTGCCGATAATACCACCTAAGTACGTAAATGCTTTCACATCCTTGGGACCTTCGTCACGAAGCATGGTGTCCAGGTGATCGTTGTGGTTGTATCCTAGGATCTTGCTCTTCTCTTCGCGTATTTCCATACGAAGGCTAGTCAGAGTGCATCACCATGTGTCCAGGCACTCGTTAACCTTAGCGATTGGTCCTCCTTCATTGTTCTTTTCTGACCGTCCTAGTTTATGGCATTGTCCTGTCAACATTTTCGTTTTATCATACGGCTACCCAATATTTTCTCCTGACGTTCTTCCCGCTGCTATTGCTAGGTTTTATACATATTCAATAGTAATAATTTCTCAGGTAACACTAGATCCGGTTATTCTCTTCCTTCACGTTTCTGCTTCTCTGTATCCGGTCTGTGCCTTGGCTTTTGCTACTCTTATTTGGCTGTTATTAAGTTCTGTCTACTTGTGATTCATTTTGTAAATCTTCCCAAGAGTATCATTAAGGATCCATTGTTTACAACCCAGCACATCATGGCACTTAGAAGCCATTACTCTTTTGACTCCTTTTCAGTGGTTTTCCATAGTAAACTTCTCTTCTCAGAGTAGATTTAATAAGGCTTGGGACTTCTTACTGATATCTAACTTGAAATCGTTGAGATTGCCAGTGTCGCTAAGGAAGGCTATATTAAGCTTTCATAATGGCTTTTTTCTGTTTATCCAGTG